ATCTCTGTAATAAACCATCAGGCATTCTTTTTAAATGGATATCAAGAAAATGAAATTCGTGGTTTGTCTCTGCTTCTAAGGTGAATTGGATTGATGGGTGACAGCTATTGAAAATATTCAAAATATCATTGAGGTCAACGTCTTCTTCGCAAATAATGAAAGTGTCATCCATATATCTTTTATATAAATGAAATCTTTCAATTATTGGTCGAAGTACCGAATTTTCTAGGTTCGCCATAAAACAATCAGCCAGGAGAGGACCCAATGGAGAGCCCATTGCAACTCCATCTATTTGTTTATAGAAAATATCATTAAATCTAAATTGCACGTTGAGCGTACATCTTAGAAGTAGTTCTTTAAGGTAATGTATCTGGATACGCATATCAAGATTATTATTTTCAATATAGTCACATAAAAAGCAAATGGTTTCTGTGAGGGGAACATTTGTGAAAAGCGAAGTGACGTCTAATGAGAACATTTTTTACCGGATACATTGATATTTCTAATGGAGTCAACAAAGTCGAAGGAATCAAGAGAATTGTGTTTGTTGATATGATTTTTAACAGGTTGTAGAATGTTAACTAACCATTTAGCGATTGAGTGATAGGGAGAATTGTTCATATCCAGTATAGGACGTAGTGGGTTATTATTCTTATGAACTTTTGGTAGTCCATATAGTCTTGGTACAACAGAACTCTATTTATGAATATGGAATTTAAGGGAGATACAGCTGCTGAAATCCTAAATAAACGGATTTCGAAATCAATTAATAAAACATTCCACGCAGCTAAGCTTCGAATCATCTTCTCTAGCCGACCTACCATTCTGGGGTGTGTTAAGGACAAAATTTCGCTTTGGGCCACTTCAATGTGTATCTATAAATTTACTTGCTCATGTGGGGCATGTTACATAGGCCGCACAAAGCGATCATTATCCAAACGCATCTCGGAACATTATCCGGCTTGGCTTTTGAAAGGGGAGCGAAAAACAATCACGAGTTCCATACAGGAGCACTTAATCAACTGTGGACATATCGCTCCAAAAGACTCTTCGTTTAAAATAGTTTACAGAGTCAAAGGAACTGGATCGAAGGGGGTTCGAATCAATATTTTATGTACCGCAGAGGCATTGGCAATCCACAAACTAAAGCCTGAACTTTGCGTGCAGAAACGATTTGTCCAACCTCTCATCCTTCCCTGGCCCTAATTCCCTTAATGAGTATGTTTCTAGGTTTGTTTTTTTAATGCACTTTTATTATTATCTATATTTTTAAATTACTATTTTGCACTTTAAACTCTAATCATTTATTACTATTACCTTTTACAAGTTTTCTTGATTATTATTCAGTCTATTATTATGACCTTTGTTGTTTTGACGTTTTTCTTCATATCTGTCAATTGGACTATTATCTGACCCTTAAATTTTGTTCTTCCTTACCCCTTGATTAGTACATTAACCTCATTTGTTATTTATTGTCGAATCCATTTTTTGTGTGATACAATCCATTCTATCCTTCTATAGACATACACTTTCCATATAACTATATATACGAATGTACAGCTTAAGTAAATGATTTCGTCGAAAAGAAAATTTTCTTCGCTGAATTCTCTTTTTCTTAATAGAATAATGTTTATTGCCCCTTATCTGAGTCTAATTAGATAGGACAAATCATCGTTATTTAATGAATAATGTCGAAATATACGTCCTGATTATTCTCGCATACCTTTATCGATTTAACTGTGTTATGCTGAATAACGGAGTTAAATAAGTAAAATATGGGGATGGATGTTTGAATAAGTATATTTTGTACACTCATTGATCTGAACAAGCAATCAGAGAATCGCAGCGAATAAAGAGGAGAGCGAAGAGAAAAGAAAGGATGCTCAATGGAGAAAGAGAATGAACCAACTCGACTTAATCAAGCGTTAGTCGACGAATGTAACTGGAAGAATGAAGGGTTCTTACGTTCTTTCCCGAATCGTCAGGCATTCTTTTTTCCTACCGCTATAATCCACTTTCGATATGCCTACAGAAAGTCGAACATAGAAAGCGAGCGAGAGAGGAAATAAAAATTGTGAGAAACATAATTACAGCTAAAATATTTTCTGCCGAAAATTTGACCAGTAATAGAAAAATTTTTAAATGGATGTTTATTGAGCTCTATTCATTGCAAATAAATCTCAGTTGTGGTAGTGTTGAAAACCAAGAAGCACTAGAAAGCTGCTACGTTCTGATGTGGGGCTCTGTTATGCCCTGATAATAACAATCAGTGGTAATTTTTGGGATCCATTTGTGAACCACGTATAGGTTTTGTGATGGTTGGTAATTTTAGCAAGAAGTATCTGCAATCGCAAAGAAACTAACGCTTTCTATGTGCTTCAATCTATGTCACAGATAGCGTGCACTGTTTTCATACACCTAGCTAACAAGTTCTGAACTATACTTCAACTTTTGATTCTATACCAAGACAACGTTTAATTAACAAGTTAATCAGCGTCAACACTGACACCTGGATAACCAACTGACTATATTCCTGCCTCTCTGGACGGGAACAATACACTGTATTTGGAGGAAAGTGTTCAGAGTCTCTACTGTCTCATGAAGGTGTACCACAAGGAACTGTTCTTTCGCCTCTTCTTTTCTCTCCTTTTCTGCATGATCTGCCATCTTCCACAGAAAACACTTTTGTGAAATATGTGGATGATCTAACTGTATGTATGCTTATCTCTTCCTCTTTACACCCTATAGAAATGAATGAGTTTTTGTCTCGCTTGTTTTAATGTTATCGAAGAAAGTCTTCCGTCTGACGTTCTACATAAAGAGACTGCATGCTTTTGGAATTACTCATCATTTACTCATACAATTTTTCTATTCTTGTATATTACCTATCATCCTTTACTGTTCTCCACTATTCTTTCCCGAGCTTTTCAGAAAATACTCTGCTGTATTGCGGAGAGTGCTGAAGACATTTAGCAAGATGTGTGGTGAATCTTTCGAGGTCATAATTAATATGGTTATGGATAGACATCGAAAGTCATGCAAACTCCTGGAAGGTGTTATTTTATCAGATACTAACCATCCCCTTCACTCTTATCTTTCTCCTCGTACAGCTTCTGGTAGAACGAGACGTAATTGCATTGCAATCCATGCACGCAAGCAAAAGTATAAAAGTTCTACAATACCTTACCCAGCAAATATTCTCTCTGACGAACAGGTTGTTAGAGTTAACCTAGTCAATAACCTGCATTCTTAACATGTCCCTAATTTGAAAAGTTGTACAGTTTTTCAGTTGACTTTTTTAACCTTTTTTCCTTTTTTGACTTCGTTACTGGGTTTTTTTGCGTAAGTGACTTGTTGAAATACCCTGTGCTGAGAATTCTATAGTGTACCAAAATATAATATTGAATAGAGCCATTAAATAAATAATTAACTAGCATAAAGCCTAAGTTCATCAATTCCTGTTGACTACTTCCAATTACATGGAACTCATCAAAATGTCTCGCGATGCCAATCCAATTAAACTAGAGACCGCGCATTAAAACTCGATCGATGGAATCTTTTGAGTGCTAAGGATTAGAGCGATATAAGATTAGGATTTATTACTCGGTGACATCAGCAAAATGTACTCCAAGTGAAAAACTTCAGTTTAACGAACTCTATTAGGCATATGCTTACATTAACAAATCTGAGTACAGCTGTGCAACGGTTGTACATGAAACGTTTTTACATGAACAACGCAAAATTAAGAGATTGAGTAAAATCAAGAAAATTTTCATGTGAAAATCAATGCATAGTTGAAAGGAAAAACCATACACTACTTCAAATGATAACATGGGCTGATGTCCTATGTGGGTTAAGTCATTCATACGTCTTGTCTCTAGCACAGGTCTAGGTAGATAGTAAATTTGGCTTACCTACCCCATCTCTAACTCGAATGTAGGCTTAACTACATAAGAGCACAGACTGCGAATGCTAGTGATGCCACTCAGTTACCCAGGATGAAGTAGGGTTTTAAATCTGGATTTATTGAAAGAAAGCTGAACGGACTCCTTAATTATCAAGACACTAGAGTGGCATACAGACCGAAATCTTTTCAGTCTACCATCGAGTCAACAAAAATTTCACATATTTCAACTTTCAGTTAGCATATGCTGAACAAAATCAGCATTGACATTCAGTATTATCCATGCTAAAGTTTTGTGAACAACCCGAGCAGAACAATAAAACTAAAAGCACCAACCAAGTATCACTGTACATAGGATGTTGATTAAATAATGTACCCCTTCATCATATACTTGGAAATGAGCTGTACTCTAAGTGTCAAGGCTAATGATATCAATCGGTTACTCAGGTTGAAGTAGGGTTACAACTCGGGATTTAGTGAAAGAACGCCGAACGAACACCCCAACTATTAAGACACTACTCCACATAATTCAGCATACCTAGTTTATTTCCTTCGCATGCATATTTGTAGTGCTGATGATGTCGTTCAGAAGAACGACGAAAGCTCCACGATCAAACCATCCAGCTCAGAGAACAAAACTCCATCAAAATCATCCACCTAAGCTACAAATCTCCACCATCTCAATGTATGACTTCTTTGAAGATCAGTGGATGTGCATTGCTGAGGAGCTCCAATGATTGTCTCACTCTGATTGGTTCGTGAACTTAATGAAATTCAACAACCTCCACAACTTTATACTCACAATAAACGATCTCATTGACATATCTTACTTTCCTTTACAGTATTACTCTTATTGTTGAAGTAAACACAGGCACTTAATACTCTCAGTTATAACAAGCTACTAAACATTGTCAGTTTAGTGAGTTCATAGCAAGGTTTATTCAGCGTAAATTTGTTCATTTATTGTATCTGTTCTATTTATTATTGTGATGATAATAAGAATAAGAATAATAAAGTTATCAGTTACTGTATTTTTACATATCCTCTCTCAATCTTTTCAGCTTTTTTATCTAGTTCGTTTTAAGTATTAATTATACGGCTATTAATTTTTATTTCTTTCATTGTAGAATTCGCTTTAAGTAGAAATTCTGTATTGTTTAGATGTTGAAGATCGTTATGGAGTACACGTTGGTCGTTTCTTCTTTCTCTTCGCTGTTGTTGTTGCTTTCGTAGTCGTCTTTGTGGTAGAGGTTTTCTCTTCTGTATGATTCAATAAATGTGATAAACCAGCTGACCGTATCCCCTGTAATAATTGTTCACGTGCAAATTTTAACTCGGCTGATAAATGTTCTATTTCAGGTGCATTTAATAAAGCTGGAATCAGTGTAGATCGAAGCCAACGTGGACTGTTGTCCCCCATCCCCAACAACAAAGCAATAAATCAATAAAATAGTTAACTTTTGTATAAAGTGGTCACTTTATAATGTTATGGTTGTTTAGTCTTTAGTTTTGATGAAACTCTACTGATTAAGTTGAAATATGGTCAGCAGGCTAGTTATTGAACAATGCCGAATATCTAACATGATGGTTGACAGTTGGAGGTATTCGATGAGAAGCACTGGTTATTCAAATACAACGAGTCTTTCAAAACCTCAGGATATTACTACTTTTTTGAAGGGTTTGGAAAGTCGTACTACCCAATTAATCGAAATACACAGTCGGCGAAACCATCGAAATATTTTAGTATAAAGGATAAAACATAGAATTCGGTTGCAAGAACTTACCGAAACAGATTTACTTCATTCCATTCGGACGGTAATCGACATTTAGAAATATCACCACTACAATAATCAACAGTATGTTGTGTCGCGATTTCATTTAGCCAATTTAGAACATCACTCCATCCTGGAGTAGTATAAGCATCTGAACAATCAGAGATTTTTTTATCCGTTGTGACCATTTTTGTTGCACAACAGTGTTCCTGGAAGAAATTTCAAAAAATCTCATTTATTGATTTAAGTTACCGCAATGCAGCAATATATAGATACACATCAAAAATTACTGATAATGATTGAGGGCAGTTGGTAGGAAACCCTGAACACAGGCTTCGTGTTAGTCGGCACTAATTATAAAGGGGTAAGTAAGATGTTGAAGGAAATGATTCACCCAGTGGAATTCAAACCCGCGCTACAAAGCCTCATCGAAACTTAAGGAATGAAAAAATACACATGTGGAGCTTGTAGGCTTGAGCATTATCTGATACATAACATGGTCGATCATTTGTAACATACTCTGTATAAACATATTTGATCAATAAGCTTTTATCAGAACTAAAAACTAAACAATTTAATCTTGATTAACAAATGATGTGTAATCTGTGCAACGATTGTTTACTACAGGCCTGATCATCCTTAATGGGTTGCTGTCTGACGAAATATCAGCACAGATTCAAAAAGGTCGTTTGGCTTTTGCCAACATACGTCACCTATGGCGAAGGCAGGATATCCGTCTATCAATTAAAGGACAAGTATACTGCGCGGTATAGCAACCTGGACCAATGCATATATGTGCCTGGTCCCACGTTGTAGCTGACTGACTGACAAGCATTTGATAAGGATTGAAATAAAGACAGACAAATAACCAATCGTAACTGTCATTGAAATCCCGAGGTTTAGTTTAGTAAAACATAATATAGGATAGGTCTAGTACATTTGAAAGGATAAGTGCCAACGTGATTAACATACATAATCATTGTATCATCTAACCAAGAAGTATTCGATCTTACCCTTAATTCAGCTAACCGTCCTTGTGCAATTTCACAATAATCATTCCATCGATTTATACAAGATTCTATGTAGGTATTATGATTATGATTATTACTATCAGTTATCATATTTGTACATTCCAAATCAATCGGGATTATTAACTCATCTTCATTGAATGACACAATTAATTCAGTCGGTTTTACACGAATTTTATCAGTATGAATTTTGATTCGATTATTATTCATTGATCTTTTTACAAGATTAAACCAATTAGGTCGAGTGTTGACTTGAATTTGTAGAAATTTTGGATCGGTTTCCCAAGGTAATAGTTCAATGAGTAAATCACAAAAATAAACTACAGCACAACGTGATGAAAGTACATTCTGTGTATTATTATGTGTTGATAGTAATGGATTACAAAATGTTTCCATCCACCATTGTTTATAATTTATACCAGTCATTCGATTATCTTCTGAGCATAATTGACGTGCAATTAATAAAACTCCTATCAATAATTGTTTATCATGTTTATTTGATTTTAAAACATCCAATTGACTTTTATGAATAAATACATCATCTAATAAATGTAAACAATCTAAATCAACATTATCATTGTTGATATAATTCATATTTGAATTGAATAATGACAATAGAAGTTGATGAATTATAACTGGAAAAGAATAATAATAATAATGAGAATGAGAAACATTGAAGATCAAGACTATGGTTGGAAAATGGCAAAATGTTATAGTAAATATGGAGGGATACTAAAATTCGAGATCTACAGTAAAACAAAGTAAGTGCATCTGTACCGTTGTGATCGAGTCTGAGCTATGTGACTCAACGTCTCCAACCATTGATTGAGGTTATCGGACTGAAGATAACCAAGTAGTGTCTTAATCACTTCAATTGATCAAGATTTGCAACCTTGTCAACCAAGCTGAAGGGTTTTCCAAGTTCCTTATCTTTGCCTAAACACTGCTCCGTCAGTTTTCTAACCATACACAAGCAATACTTTGAATATGCATATGTTCGTAAACCTGTAGCTTCTAATATTTTCACATTTACGACACCATGTTTCACAGCCATACAGTAACACGAAAAGAAATCCTGAGAAGTATGCTGGCTCTTCGATTGGAAGATGGAAATCTTACATACGTCACAAGTGAGTCAAGTTTACAAAGGCTAATAAAGTTTTGGGATCTGCCCTAAGATATCATTGGACACAATTATTGATGACGGAGCACCTTAGCAAATGAGTAAGTATAACTGTCTCCTTCTACGAATTTTTCCGTAAACTTATTTATATCTCTATTGCTTTAGTTCATCATGAACACAGGCTTTGTGTAAGTCGGCGCAAGTGAGATGTTGAAGGAAATGATCCACCCAGTGGAATTCAAATCCACGCCACCAAGCCTTACTATAACTTGTAGAATGAAAAAATATACATGTGGAGCTTGTAGGCTTGAGTATTGTCTGATACGTAACGTGATCAATCATTTGTAACTTAAACGAAAATTATACTCTGTATAAACATTTTTGATCACCTAACTGCTAGGATCACCGGACAAGTGATAGTGAGGTTAGATGCAAGGTATTAGGAAATGATGGTAAATCAGTTGATGAGGTTGTGAATCTTCATCGATTGAGATGGTTGGGCCACGTATTACGTACGCCTGAACACCGATTACCACGACGCGTAATACTTTAGTTCGTGATTCTCATCCTTCTAATAAAAATGATATTCACTATATTTGACCCTTCTTTATGCCATTGATACTACTATTACTACGAGTTTAACTCCTTCACTATTTATATTATTCAGTCCATCCCCATTATTCTAAAGTAGTATGACAAGACTTAGACCAATGTAATTCTATTATGAGATCCTATAAAATTTACTTTACTTTTTATCAGAAAGCACTTTCCCCTTATACTGTTGTAAACTAAAATAATTTAGATAATTGTGACTTCATAACTAATTACAAACTTATATATTAGCATTTGTATCATATTTTGTGTGTATACAAGCATTCAGTTGTTTAGACCGAAGCAAAAAGAGAGAAGTATATGAACCTGTTAATGATTGTTGAAAACAGGATATTTCAATAACTCAGACATTGAACATCGTAGTTTACTTGCAATTTATTAATTAAGTCACCATTCTGCATATACAAATATACAAATATATACATGCATTACATGAACCAACTTACATTTAACAGTGGACACGCCTCCTTTAATACATGTAATCATAACAGATATCAATTGAAGAATATGAGACCAATTGACATGATCCAGATCATTATTGGACAAAACGACTAAAAGACGTTCGGAAATGTAATTTAGATCTAATAAAAGAATAAACTATTATGTTTTAAAACAACCGAAAACGATCTCTATTTAATAACATACTTGTATAATGCAATATCGTCTATATGGATGTAATTCCATAAAAGTAAAATACTCCCTTTGGAAGAATCCATAAACTTATTGTTATCATTAAAATGGTATATATATATATATATATGTTTACTTGAATTGTCAGATTTCGAAAGTAAAAACTTGTTGAATAGATTTTCGATGGAATGTTTAATCTCTTCAGTTGAATGAACACCACATAATAATTTGTGAATACAGTTATGAGTTGTTTCCCAATCTGAAAATATGCATAATGAAGGAAATTCTTTTTGAAGATTACAATTGTGTATCAGATGAATAAAATTATTTTATTTATTTTATTTTAACACACAGATATTGGTACAAGGAGGCACCAAATACATATGCGTCACACAGATCTCATTTGATATACGTGAGGGCTGTGATACTGTCCGGGTGCTCAAACCGAAGCAGGTGGTTTCCAGAGAGGGCCACACCCGGAGCCTTCGATCTGAAAGTCTGATCCACAAAGCAGTGGAGCAACGTAACGAGATGCACTCCCATGGTAGCCGGTGACCAACGACTAGTTCATGTGCCTTTTGTTCATTCAGGATGCTGGAGCCCATGTACACCATGGGGTTGGAATCAGGGTTTTCCAACTCCCCTAGGTAGACTCTCTATGTCCACCAACCCGGTTAAAGCCAGTGCCGGACATTTGTTTTTCGTCCTCTTAATTTCGTAAACAACACTCGTTGTGCAAGAAGGCAGGCTATATACGCGTGGCCATGTGAGAGCATTTCGAGATGGAGATCGAAGTAAATATTTATGCACTCATCTTCAAGCCCGTTTCATGAATCAGATATGATGACACTAGTCAGTTGCTTAAACTAGCGCAAAATTTGACTATGCGAAGTCGAATGAAAAACACATATGCCCAATCAAGTTTCACTGCTTTGATTATGATCTTCCTGAAAAGATCTTGAACGTTGGACAGTTTAGTATTTTGAGACCATGTCTGACACTAATTCACTTAGAACTCCAATTCACTGATTATGTATACTTCTTAAAAAGTCATTCCTCCATACTATGAAAATTAGAGAAGTCATGAATAAATCAGTAACTATTTGCTGTGCTGACTCTGATTCATTACACACCTATGAAAAATTTGTGGAATACCGGTAGGTGCAGATTACCTTGTTGGGGTACATGCGATTACCGTAAACAAAGTGTTTGGTGACGTGGCTCAAAATCGGTTGCAATGGTGGAGTTGCATTTATATTTTTCTCGCATTTAATTCCTGAGTTTTTAAATTACCTTATAGTACGTAAGCTACTTTTTTCCTTGGATCACATTTTTGTTGCTAATTTGTTTGACTACTACTGATAATGTTACTTCTTTTACTACTCTCGACAATTTCATCTCACTGTGCTGGTGCGATGTGGCAACTCGATTAGATATACAAGTGTCAGATTTAACACTGGGTATGACTAACCATTCAGTATAAGAAATCTGACACACAAACACTTCAGCTTATTCAGAAGCAGGAGCAAAAAGAAAGCTTGGAGACAGATCATCTTCCAAATATTTTAGAAAATATTCCATTGGTCAATATTCCAGTTCGTGATGATTAGGAGCTTATCAAAGACAACCACGACAAATAAGGTGTACTGGTTGTGCTCGATGGAATGGAAGCATAATGATCAACGACCTCAGAGACGCAATGCCAAGGAACGAGTAGATCACAACAAACTATCTAATGTCTACAAACAGACCTTTGCACATACATATGCCAGTGATTACGTTGTATCGAAGTTTTTGAACAGCGTGAGACATTTTCCTCAGTTAAGTTTTTAGACACATGACCTGGAGACAAAGCTAGCTGATGTATGAATCTGCGGCGTGATTTACCGAATCTTTAACAAATCCCCATCGTTTCGATCATAATACTGAAGCCTACACCAGGTCTTTGTTTTCTAAACACAAAATTCGTAAAAACCGTGGAATTTAAAGTGAATGACTTGGATCATAATTGCCCTAAGGAGATTTACGTGCTGTACACGTTTTAAGTTAGATGCATAAACAAGACTAAAATCATCCAGAGGATCAACAATACCCCCAGGCAGGAACCTAGATATGTTAACGATAATAGAGGGAAAAAAGGAAATCGGTAACTCATAGTAAGATATTATCTTTTGTGCTTAAGAATAGGTCACGTCGCCTCTTAAAGAACTCCTGTGAAGTCGTTTGAGTTTGCGAACTCCAGCATTTGACAACTCTTAGGGAGAAGAAGTTGTGTCTATAGTTCGTTCCGCTAGATTGTGTCTCCAGTTTCTTAGTGTTGCCCCTTAATTTTGTGTTGAAGCTAAACTCAATAGATGTTTGAGGGGATGTCCAGAATTGTTAAAGATACAGTAAGCGACTAGAAGGCCACCTCTAAGACGCCTATACTCTAATGGATAAACGTTTGGTGATTAGCGGTGCTATTCATACCGCTTGGATTTGAGTTCTCGAACTGATTTCGTGTCTGTCCGTTGGTTTCGCCCAAGAGTGTCCTTATCCTTTTGGAGTGAGGGAGGAAATACTATGTTTCCATACTCTAAATGGGGACGAATAAAACTGTTGAAGATTATGTGGAACGTTCTTCCGTCAAATTGGCCAAAAATGCACTTCACTGTTGCCAGTGCAGGGTTTGCTCGAAAGGCATGTTTGTCACAGTTAGCGTCAGTCTTCAAATCGTGCGGTAACAGCACTCTTAAATCTTTTTTGACTTGGGATACTTTTGGAAAGGAGTTTCCTAAGTTGTAACTGTAGTCTGCATTATGTTGCAGGTGGACTACTTTACACTTTGAAGTGTTAAAGATAAGTCCGTTATCGTCTGACCAGCTTTGAAGTCGGGTCAGATCCTCCTGAAATGCCTGTATATCCTCCCGGTTGCATATCTCTCTCCGAGGTTTCACATCATCAGCAAAAAGTAATAAGTCTGACGACAGCTGTTCTGGAATATCATTTATATAAATCAGGAAAAGAATAGGTTCTGGTAATGAGCCCTGGAGGACCCCACTATGGCATTTCATAGCCTGTAAGAAAGTGAAGTTAACCCTGACTTCGAAATTTCGATTTTTTAGATATGATGTGTTCCAACAACTTAGTGGTGATTTGGTGCCCAATCGTTTGAGTTTATTGATAAGACATATATTGTCGGCTCTATCAAAAGCTTTTGGGAAGTCAAGGTGAACGGCGTCCAGCTTTCTCTTGAGATTCAGGATGGTCGTGCATCTGTCTACCGCAATCAGCAGGTTGCTTATACAAGAATGATTCCTTCCTTTGAAAATTAGTGTGATGTCACTCAAAGGCCACGTCCAAGATGCTCATGCTCTAATGAATAAAATTTCACTGCTCCTTACGAGGATTGAATTTGAATCCTCGAAATGATTTCGTGGCTCGCCCATGCACACATTTTACGGTATCTTTATCCATGTGATTTGATGGGAAGCACGTTGTTTCTATTCTCCCTTCTTCCGGTAATTACTTGTTTGACGTAATTTACATTGAGTTTAACTCTCACCTTAAGAAACGGTTTAGATAACAATTGATGTACAGAATTACAGCTTATATCGATCAGTGTCTCTGAACCAACTCAACAACAATCTGGAGGAAATCCCGATAGTAAACTGGCGCATCCAGAATTACATCGTATGAAGAACCATACCTCCGTTGAACTGAATAAAACCCATATCATCATGCTGAAAGATGTGGCTTTAGTTCTGCTCAAATAGTTAGTATGTAGTTCTGGCGATAAAATCACCAAGGTGTAGGCCTAGGTAGACGAAGGATGGAACTCTTCACTCCAGTCTTTGAAGAAGAAGGAGTTCGTCTAAGCCCTGAAGGTGACTGCTCTCCTATTAACCGCTGGCGTTGTGGAAATTTTAATTCCCTTGCACCGAAATAGCATGAGTTAACGATCCGTCACGAAAACATTCATGTTCTATTTACTTTGACGGGTGGAGCACTCGTGAGCTTTCAGTCGAACCAATTATATATATATGTATAATGACAGCGGAGTAACCCTAAACTCTAGACAGATTATTTCTCGAGCTGAATGTGTTCTACCTCATGCGGTTTACCACCGTACGCTGAATGTCTGTCGAAATACAGTCGACATCAATCGAGGTCGATGTGGAAATATCATCGAGGTGGTGTGGCTTGACCATATGAAAGCGAAAATTATATCACAGCACTGACGTGAATGGTTCTTATCACTAACACATTCAGGTTAACATCGTACTGCTTATACAGTTAGACGTCTTTGCAATTAGGCTCGCTCACCGTACCATAAAACCACGTTACACCACAAAGTACTGTTACATAAGATCAATCTTAATCGACAATTCTTTCTATCTAAGCGACTGAGAGAACAGTAGGGATGAATGAATCAGCGTATATTAATTGATAGTTAAGTATGTTCGGGTCACTATTCACATACGTAAACAGATATGCTCAACCAAAACAGAAGCGTCTAACTTCAATGCGATAAGTTCGTCAGACAAACATCCCGAAATAAGTGTGTGTAGACAGGTTATTGGGTGAGCACAGGACAATAAGTGAGATTGTGATTTTACTTCAGACTGCTAAACGTTTGTCCCATATCTTTCTAACATCGGTCAAAATGAGAGATATGTAGTGGCATTGAACAATAACCGCACAATCCACAAAGCTGAACACGAGACTACTCAGAAAATAGATATTCAATATTTAACGCGGATAAATACCTAACGATGGAGAAGGCGCGAAGAATGAATTGAGTGAATTAGAGTTGATCGAACGGCATGGCTCGGCCATGCAGGCGTGGTCCCTGCTGAATGTTGTCTTATATCTTCTATTCATATTAAATATATTGTTCCTTCTCTAGCCTAACCTTGTTCTACATAATGTATTGGTAATTGATACGATACAGTGAGTTGATGTAGCCGATGGTGTGACTTCCACGTAAGATCTTATAGATTAGGCAGTTATATCATGACAAATCTACAATTTCAGGATTAGGTCTATTATTAGAGCAGTACTAATATCGTAGT